CCATTAGGTGGTTGCTGGTTTGATTGCTGGTCAGGGCACATGCCTGGTTTGAAACTCCAACCCCAGTGGGGCGTACATGGGTGTGTTGATGTTTTTCTCTCAGTGTTCCTATCTCTCTCTTTTTCTCCCTTCTCTCTCTAAAGTCAATAAAAACATTTAAAAAAGATACGTATACTGTGTAAGATATATATTCTTCTGAGGTTTTAAGTAGATTTTCTTAAGGTCCATGATACTAAAAGATTAAAACCTAGTATAGGTTTATGGAATTGCTATTTGAAGGAAGGTTGTCAGAAGTGACAAAATAGTAGTTATTTCTCCTGTACTCATTGGTCTTTGCCTCCCAGACCTTTAAAAATCCTTGGTTCCTTCCCTTGCTCTCTACTAAGCCCTCCGGATAGCACTGGACAGACAGGTCTCTTTCTCCCTCTTCTGGTTTTTCAAGCACGATACACTTTCCCCCTATTCTCTTCCTAACTAGGGCTGAGATGGGATAATAACATCATCATTAGTCTCAGGTGGGAAAAAAATCTAGAGCCCCTTAAAAGTGAGGAGGGAGAAAATCTCATGCTAGGAAAACAGTCACAGATGCAATCATTAGTTAAAGGTGTACACACGCAAGGTGACCTTATTTCACATGCTAGCTTCAGTGTCCTCAGAAAGGCAGTGACTTAGAGGGTGACGGAGATAAAAGAATGCATGCAAAGTTACCATTGTGGCTCTGCTGTCGTTGCTCAGTGGTCAAAAGGTTGGTGGTTCAATTCCTGGTCAGGGCACATAGCTATGTTTCAGGTTTGATTCCTGGTCAGGGTGCATATGGGAGGCAACCAACCAATGTTTCACATATCAATGTTTCTCTCTCTCTAAAATCAATAAAAACATATCCATGGATGAGGATTTTTTTTTTTTTAAAGTTACCAAAGTGTTTGCTCCCTGGTAAGCACTGAATGTGAACTCTCATTATTAAACTGAAGCTTTATTTTGTGAGAGTTAATGCGTTAACACCATGTGATTTTCCCTATACAATCACATTTAATCCTCATAGAGACCTTGGAAGGTAGAAATAATTTTTCTCATGTTTAGATATGGGAGACTGATGTTCTGTGAGATTAGGTACCCTAGCCAAGGTCTCTGGCATCTTAAAAGACTGAGCCAGCATTCAAATCTACTTGATTCCAAGCCCATGCCCTTCAGGTTCTGTTGCTTGCTTTTTTTGTACATTTGAAGTCTCTGAGCCTCACTTCCTCTTCTGTAAAATGGGAAAGTGACTACCTCATGGGACTGTGGAGGATGGGAAGGCTCCAAGCAGTGCCTGCGACATACTGTCAGTTGTGGCGATTATTAATGACTTCCCCGATGAGAGGCCTTCCCCATGTCTCATTTCTTCCTGTTCTCTCCCCACTGGAGGAAACGGGCTGGAGGGCAGCCCCAGCTGGGCGATAATTTTAGAAGAGAATCCCCTGGCAAAGGTTAGCATGGGGAAGGGAATAGACTGAACTTCAACCTGATACCCTTATTCAAAGGCGGGGCTGGGGAGGACCTGGAATCGGGCTGAGACAGGTGCTGCTCTGTAATCCCAATGTGTCCCTTCTCCTAAAAGCCTTCCTATCCAGAGAGCAGGGACTAATGTTAGCCCCACTCTTCCAGTACGTTCTTAACCTTTCCTAGACTTTGTATCCTTCCCTCCCTCGAGGATATCCCACTGTTGTGATTGCAGTACAGGCAGCCAGCTTCAGTCCACGCCCCAAGCCCTTTGCCCCAGTGGTCTTCTCAGCCACTTCCCCTCCCTCCACCTGACATGCTTCCATTTCACTCAGTCTCTTTCTGCTCTTCCTCCTCTACATTCCGCCCCCAGCTGTTTCCCACCACCTGCTCCTGCAGAATGCCCCCTCCTGCTGAGCCTCCATAGCCCGCCTGCACTGGCGCACTTGCCTCTCCAGGTCCGCTTCATACACATTGCACCCTGAGAATCCAATTACACACAGCCCACTGCTTACATCTTACCCTGGCTGCTCCGGAATTCTCTTTACAACCTAAGCTCACCCTAGGAAACCCGAAATCCAAATTGAACCATGAGCTAAGGAATTCTTCACGCCTCATCCTCCAGTTCCAGCCCAGTCTGTTTCTCCAGCCTTCACCCCATACTTGAAATAATTCAGAATCAACACTGCTTGCTAATGACTCTTCCATCTCTTCTGTGTGAATGCCAGTGCTGGCCATATTTTGGGCAGCTGTTGGTGGTCATGACAACTAAGATATGCTTATCTTAGGTGTGAACTTGGACATCTAAAAAAAATTTTTTTTTGGCAGGGCCCGGCCGTTTTGGCTCAATGCTTGAGCACTGACCTGAGCATCAGGTCAGTTTTGATTCCTGGTCAGGGCACATGCCTGGGTTTCGGGGTTAATCCCCAGTAGGGGGCGTGCAGGGGGCAACTGAGCAATGATTTTCTCATCAATGATGTTTCTATCTTTCACTCCTTCTCTCTTCCTCTCAGAAATAAAAATATATATATATATTAAAAACTGGCAGAGCCTGGTCAGTGTGGCTCAGTAGTTGAGTGTTGAGCTACGAAGTCAGGAGATCCCAATCAGGGCAAGTGCCTGGGTTGCGGGCTGAATCCCCAGTAAGGGGTGGGGGCATGTAGGGGGCAGCTGAGCAATGATTCTCATTAATGTATCTACTTCTCTTTATTCTCCTTTCCTCTCTGAATAAATTTTAAAAATATATTGAAAAACAAAAATTTATTTATTTATTTTTTAATATATTTTATTGATTTTACACAGAGAGGAATTGAGAGGGACAGAGAGCTAGAAACATTGATGAGAGAGAAACATCAACCAGCTGCCTCTTGCACACCCCCAAGTGGGGATGTGCCTGCAACCAAGGCACATGCCCCTGACCGGAATCCAACCCGGGACCTTTCAGTCCGCAGGCCGACGCTCTATCCACTGAGCCAAACCGGCCCCGGCAAAACTTAAAAAAATTGGCAGCAAAATAGGAAGAGGTATGCCTTGTGAGGTAGTGAGGGATGCTGTAAGGGGCTAAGAAAAATATGCGTGCATCATAAGATTGTCTGCAGACACAGAGACATAAGACACATATCAGTAATAAATATAAGCATTTATTTGGCACCTGATGGCAATGCAAAATGTGGCAGTGGGAAGTGAAAGGTCTATCACCCAAATATTTCCATACAATACTAACCCAGGAGTAGGGAGGGCTTGAAGGTCTGAACCACCTGGCTCACAGAGCGAGCATTTATTGAGCACCTGAACTATGATACAGGCCGAGCACTGTGCCAGGCCCCATGGGAGATGTTAGAGGAAGTTGTCTCAGTGACATGTCTTCAGGGGATACCACCAGTGAATAAAACAAAACACACGAAAACACACCAAACTGTGTATATTGTCAAAAGGTAGGATTCTAGCTAGGATTGCTGCCTTCAACATTTACTGAAGCCCTAACATGTGCCAGGCACTGGGTACATACTGATGAACAAAAAAGGTTTTGCCCTCATGGAGCTTCTAGTAAAGAGAATGAACAAGGGAAGCAAGTAAATATCATAGGTTACGAAAAGTGCAATGAGGAATTAAACAGGCACAGGAATAAACATAGAAGATCATTTAGAGACAGAATGGCCTGAGAAAGCCTCCACAAGAAAGTGGGATTTAAGCTGACATTTGAAGAATAAACCACTCAATCAAGTGATGAGGAATGGCACTCTGTAGACCCCCAGAGAGCTCTTTTCATGACAAGAAAGAGCTCAGAGTGTTTGAAACTGAGGAAGCCATTGGTTGCTGCTTAGAGAAAAAGCAGCACTTAGTAAGGTTCAAGGGGAAGGCGGGGCCTGGAGGCCACGGTAAGGAGTTGGATTTTATTTGAGGTGTAATGAGAAACCAAAAGGTTCCAAGCGGGGGAGTGACATGTTCAAGACTTATATTTAAAAACCAAATCTGTTATATAGATATTAGGTTGTAGCACTAAGAATGGAAGTCAGAGAGGCCTTAGGAACAGGAAAGTCTCCTGTAAGCACAGATAGGGACAACAGACATGGATAGCCATCTAGCAAAGGCCTCCCTGAAACAGAGAGACATGGGGACAAGGAAATAGACCATATAATATCCAAGGGGATTTAACACTGAAACAGAAAGCAGGAACGAGGAACTACATCGCATCCTTCAGCAGCCAATTAAGTAGTATTTTAGACCGATTTGGAGGCAGCAGTAACCAGGATCTCATGAACAGGGGAGAAGCAGGAAGCAGGGAGAGAACAACTAGAAAGGGAGAAGATAAGGTGACAGATTAGATGAGGAAGCATCCCACCCTCACCTGCCCTTGCGGGCACCGCCAGGCTCATTCCAGTGAAAGTTCAGAGAAAAGATCTTTTGGACGTTCCTGCACGAGATCCAGATGCAAGGCATTCGACCCTGAGACTGCTGACAGCTCGGGTTCCTTGAGTCCAGAGGAGCCACAGGTGGCACTGTCCTTCCTGTATGGGAGGAACGCACAGGCTGGTCCACACACAGCAGCAGCAGCGTGTGTCTCCAGTCCTGTTTGTCCTCCCAAAGCCACATGGGAAATGCCTACATTAAACGAGGAACTCTCACTCTGGGATATGAAAGACTGGAGATGACCTCCGAGACATCTTAACTAACATAACAAAAGCAATGACCACAATGCTGCCTACAAAAGCCCCGGGCAGGAAGTGAGCACACATGTCGAGGGGACCTGCATGCCTTTCCCCATAAAGCCCCCGTGCTTACACACACCTTTCACCAAGCTCCTCTACGGCAGCCAAACATTGCTGGCAACCAGTCCAGCCAAGGCCAGTCCAGGAAGAGAGCCTCACAGAGAGGGAACCAGCCTGTGGGCGGGCTCAATGTCAAGGATGGCAGGCTGTGAAACCAGCCCGAAGCTCCCAGTCCCTGAGAGGGAAGGACAGAAACCGAGATCCTGCAGAAGCCCCAGCACACCATCTGTGGCCTGGCGCCGGGCGGGGGCGTCACGTGGGCGGGTGTCCGGGGAACAGATAGAGGTGCCGGCACAGGGTGCTACAGTACTCCGACATCTCCTTGCACCGGTGGAATTCCGTGCCAGGGGCATAGCCTTCGCGCTCCTTGATAAGTCCGTTCACCTGGAAAGGTAAAAACCAAGGGTCCAAAGTCTGAGAATCTGGTGTTTTCACAGGAAGGGTGGAGACTGCGGCAGTGACTGGGCAAGGGAGGAGGAGGGGACAACACCCCAGAGGGCAAAAGGTTCGCAGAGCCAGGCTGAGCGACTTACTTTGACAAGCATGTCGGCCACGTGCATGTCACAAGCCCTCTCCGAGAAGATCTGAGTGAGGGCCTCGACGTACCAGGAACCCCGTTTGGTGTTACGCATGGCAGCAGTCCCTACAACCAAGACAAAAGTCACCACAGTCATGAGATATCCTTGCGTAGCTGGATATCCCAAACTAGGGGTCCATGCCACGTTGTACCCGCCCCCATCAGAGCTGCACATGAAAAAGTGCAAGTCTATAGGAGAGTGTAATCGTTTGGACTGTCCTAGAATTCACAATACCTCTGAGGCAGGCATAGCCACATATCATGTCTGAGCGAGTGGGCAGCCGCATCTTCAGCAATTCCTGTCTACCAGCATCGCCCTCCTCACACTCAGGGGACAGGGCGGGACCTTTTCCGTCTTGCTGGTCAACTCCACGATCTGTTTCATCTGTAGGAAGGCAGACAGAGTGGACAAGAATGTTATTTCCTCTCATCTTTCTTGGGCCTGTCATAGACAAGCCCAAGTTCCTCACAACCTTGACCGGGAAACCTTGGCCGGGAAGAGCCATTTCCAGCTGCAGCCTCCAACCTAGGGCTGATGAATTAAAATGCAAAAAAACCCCCAAAACAACCCATTGCTCCCGATTCTCTCCCGGCATGCATCCATTACCCTGGGGGATGCCCAAACACATGGTCTGAGCTGTCTATTCTGTGCAAGACGGGGAAAGTGCTGAGTCACATGCCTGGTAAACAGAACTAAAACCGCCTCTGTCCATGATTCACTTGTTCACTGAACAATGCATCTGAGTCATGGTGCTTTTTATTGCGAACACAATAGAATATTGATAACTTAACATACAGTGTTTTGTGGTTTTGTCACCATCTCCCATTTATTTATATATAAAAAAAAAGTTATGTCATTTTGACATATGTACATATGTGGTTTATGTTTTTGTTGTTCATTTACCATAAGTAAAGGTAAGGAATTATCTTTCTTTTTAAAATTTTTTTTTTTTTACTGTTTCACTTCATTACTGCTATGTATGTGCTCCATGTGAGTGATGTAGGTGCTTATGTAGGTGGGTTCCGACTTACAGCGAAAATCGTGTTACCTCGCACTGTAGGAATGGATCTCCATCATAACCCGAGGACCTACTGTATATTCAAAAGTTTTCGCAGTAGTTTCTCAACCTACCCTGAGCACACGCCCCGCCTCTTGACTGAGGCCTTACCTATTCCCAGACCTAGTCTTGATGTTGTTTCATTCTGGGGATGTGGTGGTGGTGGGGGGTGTAGGTAGGAAAGAGAGACAGAGAAGACACACAACTCATCACACAAAAGATAAAAGTATGCTTTTTCACAACATTGCCTGCTCCACGCAACATTCAAGAGAGCCTAGAAGGAAAGAGAAGGTTGAAGAAATGGGGGGGAAAACCAAGACTCATTGATCCAATAAAGATTTATTGTGCAAATGCCACGTGCCAGTCACTGTTTTTGTTTTAAGCTCTAGAGAGACAGTGAAGAAAACATCTCTGCCCTCACAGACTATGGAGAAGGTGGTATTTTTTTTTTTTAAAGTTATTATTTTTTTTTGGATTTAGAGGAAAAGATGGGGAGAGAGATAGAAACATTGATGAGAGAGAATCACTAATCAGCTGCCTCCTGCATACCCCCTCTACTGGAGATTGAGCCTGCAACAAAGGCATGTACCCTACCCAGGAATTGAACCCTAACCTCTAGGTTCATATGCTCAACCACTGAGCCACACTGCCCAGGTGAGGGTGATATTTTTTATAGACATTGACCATATTAACTAAATACAGAAGACAGATGAGCTCAAGTTTAAGTATTTAATTATAGAGAAGATTCAGATTCAGAGCCATTTCTCCCTATCCGGATGCACAGTGTGTGTATATCTCTGAATATAGAAGAAAATGATCATGAATGTCTTTCATTTTATTTTGCTGTTGTATATCTCCTGAAGGAACTAGGCCAAGCTGAATATGTCCCTCAAGAAAAAGGAAACTTCTTTCCTACCTTCAGGCCTCAGGTCTGTTAATAAACGTTACTAGTTCTTTCTTTCCAATATCCCCATATTTGTTTTCCACATTATCGCTAGAGACTCTATCCATTCATTCACTATTTATTAAGTGCTACCATACATCAATCAGGCAATGCTCTGGGCCTAGGAAAACTATTCCTGGGCCACATCTCACTATTTACTTACGGATGCTCAGTTTTTAAATTACATCCGGGCATTTGTCTGACTCAGCACATCATTTCTTTCGGGGGAGGGGGTAGTGGAGGAGCTCCTTTTAATCTTGCTGTGCTTGTCATATTATTACCAACCCCCTCCTCCCCTTCACCCCCCAGGCCCTTTCTCCTGACTCTATATGCTACTCCATATCTATGTAAATCTTATCATTCTGGGTCCCAATTAAGTCTCATCATATCCCCTGAATTTCTTCAAACTAAGCTGGCCTAAAATGACCTACTCCTTACAACTTGCGTCTTCATATGTTTGGTATCTCACTAATTTCACCCCTGCTTACTTCAGGCCTTTAACTACTCAAAACTACTTCAGGTATATTGCTGTATTTTCCAAGTAATTAGCAGGCACTTTGGAGAGCCCACATTTTCCTTTGCTTTTGTGACACTACCTAGTGTAGTCCTAGTCATGTTGTAGGACCTTAATAAATGATATATTCTTTGGTGATATTAGGAGAATAAAAACATTATTAGTCATTTACATCTGCTGAATGTACAACAGATAAAAATGATTATTTGAATATTTGGACCAAGTGACCTTCAAACCAACCTATAAGCCCTTCAAAAGCACTGATCATGTTACAACAGCCACAGCTGGCAGTGTTGGTGGATTTACTAGGAGCCAGGCTCTGGGCTAAGCAGGCCCTTCCTAAGCTCTATTTCATTTACTCCTCATAATAGCTCTATGATTTAGGCCTGATGATTCTCCACACTTTATATCAAGGAAACGAAGACAGAGAGGCATCAGTGGTAGAGGCAGAATTTGATTGCAGTGGGTGTTTTGTTATTATTGGTTTCCTCCCAGTAAGCAAGCCCGCATGTCCGCTGAGCCTAGTCCGAGTCCTGGGGTAGAACTGCATGCGAGAAAGAAGAGGGAGGGGAGCAGCTCAGGAGAAGGAAGCCGGGGCTGACCTGGTACCTGCTGTCCTGCATGGCACAGGGTGGATGAAGCAGGGAGGCATGGATGGCAGGGTAGGTGAAAAGTCGAGAAAAAGGAGAAAGTGGAAAAGGGGACAAGAGATGGAGGAAGAAAAAGAGGAAGGGATAAAGTGAGAGGGACAGGAAGAAGAGATAGGAAATCCTTAACCGGAAGAAGTAATAAAAAAAAGCACATCAGGCACATCAGGTTACTGGTAAGCATAGAAAAAAGTCCGAGTCCTCAGAAAAGAGTCTTGAGAACAGGCATGGCGATGCAGAGAGCTGACCGACCAGAGAGCCATGGGCTGCCCAGGTCCCAGCACACCCCATGCATCGGGGACACTTACAGAGCAAGAGAGGCGGTGGCAGCAGTGAACAGAAGGAGGTGCCCAAGGGATCCAATAGCACCTGAGAGGAGCAAACAGGAAAGTGAGAGCTGGGGGGAGGCTGCCCAGGAGCCGCCACCCCGGTGTTCGTCCTGCAGGCACTCACCTCCTCGGCAGGCCTGGATGAAGAACATTTTCGGCTTGTTCTGTAAGCTCGGGCAGTTGGCATTGTCAAAGAGCCGAAACACCTCCTGCAGCTGGTGGCAAGGAAGAAGGGAGAAGGGAGGGTAAGTGGACAGTGGGACCTTCTGAGTCTTATACACACAGCAGCAGCCAGCACAGGCTGAAGGTGACAGATGTGATCCAACACCATCCACAGGACTGTACACACCTGAAGCACCTTGCCGTCCACACCAAAGACGCCGCCCTCCACGCCGTGAGAGAGGAGGGCCACAATGCAGGAGTCAGTGACTCGGTGAGCAGACAACTGGGCAAAATTCTGGAGTTTCTCTTGCATTTCCTAAAAGAAACACACCTGTTAGTGTTGTTCACTATAGTCAGCACCAATATAAGCTTTTTAAAAATATATTTTATTGATTTTTTACAGAGAGGAAGAGAGAGGGATAGAAAGTTAGAAACATCGATGAGAGAGAATCATCGATCAGCTGCTTCTTGCATATCCCCTACTGGGGATGTGCCTGCAACCAAGATACATGCCCTCGACCGGAATCGAACCTGGGACCTTTCAGTCTGCAGGTCAACGCTCTATCCACTGAGCCAAACCGGTTTCGGCCAATATAAGCTTTTCAATGGTGTCTGAAACCTTAAGTTATTAGAAGACAGAATGATTTATGTGATCAATGATAAGTAAAGTCAGAGACCCATTGAGAGGCTAGAAAAAGCATGGATTCACTAGAAAATGCATGACTTCAAAGAATTCTGAATATAATGGCACAAAATTCACAGACTGAGATATGCTAAGAACTCCTGGATTAAAGCACATCACTAAAGTTAGTTAACTTTATCTACCACCACTCCCCCCATCACCAACCAGATTTCTTTTGAGCAAATACTGTTGTACATTAGTGGCACAGGAGGACCACCAGCTGAGCAGTGAATGAGTATCACCTACGGGGCCACAAGGGAATAAACTACTCCATGACTAAGGGCTTAACAGGACCATGATCTAGAGAACAACAGTGATGCTTTCTATCTGAGATCTGAATTGCCCGGAGACAGTAATGATATCTGTATAAAACATCTTGTTCAGGAAGGAGCATGCTGTCTGAAAAATTCTGACAGGGTCATGATTAAATGCATAGGCCACAGGATCAGACAGACAGACCGAAGTTTGACCCCTGGATTCAAAACTGGTACAAGTTCTTAAGTCCCTCAAGACTGTAGCCCATTCTGTAAGGAAAAAAAAGGACTTATAGCTATGTCTGGCACATCCTGCAAAGGCCTGCAATTATTATTATTATGTGTATGTCTAATTATAAGGGTAACAATATTATCTCCCACCTCCCCAAAACACCCCTATTACTAATCAACCTTGTATTCCAATTTAAAAATCTTGCTTTATTGCCTGTGGCCACTGTGGCTCAGTGGTAGAATGTTGACCTTTGAACCAGAGGTCATAGTTCTATTCCTGGTCAGGGCACATGCCCAGACTGTGGGCTTGATCCCCAGTAGGGGGTGTACAGGAGGCAGTTGATCAATGATTCTCTCTCATCATTGATGTTTCTATCTATCCCTACCTCTCCTTTCCTCTCTGAAATCAATGTTAAAATAAAAATTTTAAAAAGAATCTTGTTTATCTAGCACTATGTTGCCATACACAAGTACGTCTCTACTTTAGGCATTTGGCCCATCAACCGAAAGTATACCATAATATAAAACCTGATACTAATTGTTAAACCTATGTCTCTCTACAACTCAAGATGCCTGGACTGTCTCTATCTGGATCAGCAGAGATAAGTTATTTCATTATGAATTTGAATGAACTGTAATGAACAGAAAAGTCACCATATACAGCCCCCGACAAAAAGCATGCACCTATGTAATATGTTGCAGTGGTTCTCAAAGTGTGGTCCCTAAAGCGCAACATCAGCATCACCTGGGAATTTGTGAGAAGTGCAAAGTCTTGGGCCCCAGCAACTGTTTTAACAAGCCCTCGGGTGATCTGACATGCAAAGTTTGAGAACTACCAATCTATTTGTTTGCAATACAGTTGACCCTGGAACAATGCAGTGGGTAGGGGCGCTTTGACACCCACAAAGTCAAAAATCCATATATACTTCTGACTCCCCCAAAAGTTAACTAGTTGTCTTTCAGTATCTGTGGGGGATTGCTTCCATGACTCCCCATAGATAACAAAATCTCAGATGCTCAAGTCCCTTATAATAAAATGACGCAGAACAAGGCATACAGTCAGCCCTCCACATCTTTAGATTTCCAACAGTGGGTTGAAAATACTGTTTTCCATCTGAGGTTGGTTGAATCTGTGAATGAGAAACCTGGGGATATATAGTCTGCAAGTAAGTGGACCCGTGTAGTTTAAACCTGTGTTGCTCAAGGGCCAACTATACTTCCGTTGCACATAATTGAGACTTCATTATATAAGATTTGTAAGTCTGCAACATAACTGGAAATGGAGAAATTGGCTCTGTTGAAAAGTATGTATATTTTCTGGGCAAGTAGAAGCCAACTGTAATATTGGAAATCTTAAGGTAATAAAAGATATCCAAAATTGATGTGTTTCAAGAATATATAACCCCAAGAGAATACGTAAGTATGAATGCTCCTTTCGAGATGACCGTAACAATTTAGCAAGTAGTAGTTGAAGTTAAGTTTCTTTGTGGAAGGGAATAAATAGACAAGCATTTTGAACTTCAGCGAGATTATTAGGTCAATAAACAGACGACAAGTAAGTCCAAAGTAAGAACACATACTTTGTAACTGAATTGGCACGACTAAACCTTTCAATAAATGGAGATGAGTCATTTGGGGAATGATCTGCAGCTTTATTTCAAATAAAATTACATAAAATTCTCTAAAGAGCAGTCTTGCCTTTATTTTTGGCTGGAGATGGGGAATACAGGAGAAGAGAATAACCTGCAAACTATCTGAAATTATATGCAAAATTTTGTGGATAGCTTCATTTTCCTGGAATGACCCACTGCTTGTCCCTACACTCTCAAAGCAGTCTTTGACCCAACTACAAGTTAAAAACCAATAACATATAGCAAAAGAAAAGTTGCCACTTGAAACGGATTATTTCTTTATATATGATGAATTGTAATTCTAGAACTAGCAGCCTCATGAGGGAGATGCAATGAGAATAGACTTTGATGCCAAAAAGAAATGAAAACCAACACAAACAGTGAAAGACCAGTGAGTGCTCCCGCACTGTCAAGAAAAGAGGATTCCCTAAGACTACTTACTATTTCCAATTTTTAAAAGGAAAGTAAAAAAACTGTAATAGAAGGCAAAAAGAAGGGATCTTAATTTTTTGGATTCTGTTTCTTTGCTTGCCAAATAATTACATAACAAGAGTTGAGTTGCTTGTGAGGTCCTTTCAGGAAGAAAGTATTCAGTGCAGATGTGCAGTGCACCAAATTCTCTCCCGCACTGCGCCTACCTGATCGTACTGCATCTGAGCGTTTGGCCACTGCCAGAAACCGGTTCTGCAATGTCCTCCTCTCCTCTCTGAATCTCTAGAGCGGAGGATTAGGTTACATGGAGGGCTATCTCCCAGGGGTCAGCCCTAAGCCTTTTGCTCTTGTTACTCTTTCTCATTATTTTTCCTACATAAGTAATTCCCAAATTCACATCTTTGGTCCCGACGACCTCTGAGGCCCTCAATTCCTCACTTAATTTTTCCATCTCCCTTTATATGCAGTCCTTCAATCACCAAGCAATGGAAGTACAACCATGCCATTATACTATTTTCACATATATTCTTTCCCTTTTGGTCCACTAGACCAGTGGTCACCAAATGGTAGTCTGTGAGGTCTGAAAGGTTGGGGATTGCTGCACTGGACATTACGATTTTAACTCCAGAGTGGGTTTCCTGCCATTAGCCTCTACTCCATTCTTTGCAATGGTGTCATATTAATCTTTCTGAATCATCACGTGCATAATGCATCATTTTCTGCTCAAGAATTACTAACAATGTTCTAATGTCAAAACAAGGACGTCTAATTCCTTTGGGAAGAAATCCAAGGCCTGTGCATTCTGGTCTTTATCTTCAATCTTATTTCTGGCACTCTTTTGCTCTAGGCATTTGGTTCACCTGCTAGGTCCCTAACATCACACATACATTTCCTGTCCACACGCTATTCTCCCTGCCTAGGGTCCTTTCACCACTTCTCTCTCCTTGGAAACTTCTATCCTTCAAGACCAGTTCAAGTCTCCACTTATCCATCAGACGATATCTACCCAGGCAATTGTTTCTTCCTCTTAACTACTGTAGAAGAAACTGTCTCAAATTTTGCTTGGTCCTTGGAAATATACGAGACATGCTTCCTTTTTTGCTGCTGTCAAGACTTTCTCATCTAACACTTTTAAATCTCTGGTACCCCACAGCCTGCCCATTCTAAGGTACTCAAAATTTGATGTTACCGCAATTGCAGTTACAGAACAACGTAACCAGAGAATGAAAATCCAGTAGGTCCTGGAGTTTGCATCAAGTTTAACATAAACAGGAATGGTGTTTATGAAATGTGCTCATAGATCCACACAATGTTCTGACTGTCTATGAAAACAACAGTACACAACTGACTTGGTGACTCACAGTTGTATCTTTCACTATCATACATGTAAGATTCCCACTGACCACACACAATGTAACCAGGACATCATAAATTCCTAGTAAAAGGAACAACCAGAGCAGAACCTGTCAGGAAGCATAGAAAGCATTCCTCTTGCTAAGACTTTCTAACAGGATTCCCCTGTAGGAATGATGGCTGATTCCCAACAGACCTCTCAGGAAAGCAGATGACCTACTTGAGTACTAGATGACTAAAGCAGCTGCTCAGCCATGGCATGGAGCACGGGCGGCCTTACTTCTCTGCAAGAGCTGTTACTGGAAAGCTGGCAAGAACAGCATGCAAAGGAGAACACCTGAGAACCTACTGGTGAGACTGGCCTTACCAAAGTATAGCAAATACATCATTTTCCTCACAGAAGCAAGACAGCTGAGAGAGAGAAATAGAGACCGCAGACAATGTTGAAGGCAAAACAGAGACCTGTGCCTCAAAAGATCAAAGTGAATCTCTCAGAAATTTTAATTTTACCAATGACATTCCAAAAAGCAAGTTCAGGAAAGCACTACTATTCTGGAATCAAAAGTGAAGAATATGCCGAGACCGGTTTGGCTCAATGGATAGAGTGTCGGCTTGGGCACTGAAGGGTCCTGGGTTCGATTCCGGTCAAGGGCATGTACCTTGGTTGCGGACATATCCCCAGTAGGGAGTGTGCAAGAGGCAGCTGATCGATGACTCTCTCTCATCGATGTTTCTAACTCTCTATCTCTCTCTCTTCCTCTCTGTACAAAATCAATAAAATATATTTAAAAAAAAAAAAGTGAAGAATATTATTAATTCACCAATTGGCTATTACAATTTCAAATCAGAAATAGCCAAAGGTAGTTAAGTTGGAAGTGTAGCTGGTTAACTGAGGTTAATGAGGCATAACTCATAATGATGCTTATGATGTGCAGGCATCCAGTCCAGAAGTAATTTACTCTAAGATCTGCCTTGTGGCCACCCAACTCTTAAACACAAAGAATTTTCCTATATGTTAATTCACTAAACTGCCACAAAACAACATTTACTAGGGCAATTTTACTGAACTCTCATTTGCAACAATTTTATCTGTCAAAGTAATCTTTACAACAATAACTAGACTCCTGTTATGATTAACCAAGAAATAAATGTCGCATATAGCCTTGGCTTAGAAATATCCTTTTGAGCTGGTTGGGTGACTCTTAGTGTCTCCTCACTCCCTGAGTGATGGGGAATTAATTTGCTGAGCATGAAAAAACAAGTGCCCAACTGTGGACTTTTATTACTCAGCAGGGAGAGCATGGCCTTATGAGAAATCAGCACTGATGTAGCTGGCTGACCCTAGTTCTTTTTTAAAATAAAAACTAGATTGCAAGGTGAGAGGCAGGAAAGATGAGCCATAAGGTAAGGAGTAAAGTAACTAGTAAGACACAGCTCAGCAAGCAAAGAAGCAGCAGGGGCTTCTGTCCCCAAATGCTTCATCGGGTACCTGTGCAGTCTGGTCAAGTAGAACATGGACAGTATAGCCCAGGAGCTTGAAGAGGGTGACTAGATTGCTGTGGTCCACATCCCCTCCGGAGCGTAAGTCCAGGTCCTTCTCTCCAGTGAAGTGCACGTTGCTTAGGACCAGTGCCAGCCCACGCGGCCGAGACTGCAACTTATAGGCCTGGAGAGGGGACACCAATTAGACACAGAGCTTCCTGAGGACAGACACTGCGCCTCCCCTACTAGGTGACACATGTCAAAGAAACACCAACATCATACTCTTCTGAACCCCACCAGGTCAAGACCGAAATATGCCCATACAAGACTTCCACCAGCAAAGACTTTCTGACTAATCAACAGGGAGAGAATGTGTACACAAACAAAGTTCACATGCCCAGAAAGGGCACCTCACTTCCCAACTCTTTCCTTGTGCCATGTTGCCAGACTCACCAGCTGGTGGTGTGTCCGGTAGAATTCAGGAGTACAAGGCTTCACCTGAAGGCAGGGTGGGCCATCTCTGTTGTCCAGGGAGTGTTCCACAGTATCTGTGGCACAAAAAGCCAAAAGCTAGCACACAACCTATGCATCAGTCCTAGTACTTTGTAACTTCAGGCACCCATTTGAACTGGGGATTTAATAAGTTTTGGTCTTGCCTATTCCCCTAAATTTGTAAGATCCATGAGGTCAGAGACCTGTTTATTTAGCCTAAATAGAATTGGGCACTCAAGCAGACACTGGTTTGGCTCAGTGGATAGAGCGTCTGCCTGCGGACTGAAGGGTCCCGGGTTCGATTCCGGTTAAGGGCATGTACTATGGTTGCGGGCACATCCCCAGTAGGGGGTGTGCAAGAGGCAGCTGATCGATGATTCTAACTCTCTAACCCTCTCTATTCCTCTCTGTAAAGAATCAATAAAACATATTAAAAAAAAAAAAAAAGAATTGGGCACTCAAGTCACCAAATAACTAAATTGGATATATGATAAAAGCCTTGTTTAATCACAAGGCATCTCAATCAGCAGGCTAGTGGCTGATGATGTCTTTCCTCATTCTATAATACTTCAGCTTTATGGAGGAGACTGGTCAACCATATGCAAGAATTTCTTACCTATACGAGTTGCTCCAAGGGCCAATTACCATAAAAACATCATCTGTGATGGAAGGGAAATAGGATAACTAATATCCCACCTAAATTGCCCGGCTAGTCCCGAACAAACTTACAGAGGAAACTGTCCCCAATATGAATGAAAAGTTATTACTCCAGGGCAAAGTTAGATACCAGTTAAGAAAAGGGAAGTCAATTTGTGGGACTCATTTTGCCCCATCAATTCTCACCTGCAGAAAGGCGGACCCGCTTGTGAGGAGGATAGGACTCACACACCGGGAAAGACAGACACAAGTCGTGGTCACGGCTCAACTGTAAGAAATCAGAAGCCCGTGCAAGGTCTCAGGGAGATGATCTAGTCCCAATAAAACAAAGATCTAGTCTCCCCACCCTGTGTCATAAATTCCTTACCCACCAAACTAACCCTTCTCAACCCACCGCGTGTCTAGGGCTCCATACCGGTGAGAGTACTTGCTGAAGACCAGAGAGGGTTGAGAGTAACAGATCCTCCAGGTGACCCTGCTTGGTTTCCCTCAGGGCCTCACAAAAGGCATCAAAAGCACGGGGACCCCTCTTGGGAAGCAAATTGAGGAGTTCCACATTCTGGTTGAAACTGCCCACTTTGGCCTACAATATAAGAATAAAACATGAAATCTAAACATATCTAGCTATAATTCCTTTTTTCCAGATGAGTTCCCTAAAAATGTCCATCTCAAGAATTCCTTTCACAGAAAAAACAATATGGGTGAAGCCCTTCCTATTATTCCTGAATTATATACCTTTTCTCTTCAATGCTTTAGGGTAGAAGGGCATTTTCAATTCCTTAATAGGGCACCACACCCATTTTACACTTATTGTGCTCTGTTCCTACTTCTACAACCAATTTACTTGGTTTTTCTCTTTCGCCTCCAGGTACCTGAATGTGCTCCCTCATTTCGAAGGTGATGATGTCTTGTTCCAGGAGATGTTCTAACAGTTCACTCAGCAACAGCTGTTTGGCCAGCAGCACTCGGTTCTTTTTCAGAGCTTCCTGATGGTCCGGATGCATGCCACACACTCCCAATATCCTACAGATAAAAGGCAGAGAGAAAGGCTGTCAATGCAGAAGATATGGCCCAGAAGAGTAGAGTGGAAGAGGTGTGGGCAGGAAGAACAAAAGGAACAGAACTTACAATAATCAAGGTTAATTTTATCAAATCTCATTAAAATCAAGGAAGTATTGAGCAATAACATGTTGAGCATAAGGAAATGATGTAATTCTTTATGGAATATGTTCAACTGAGAGCATTGTCTGAGATAAATGGTCATTTAGGGGAGGGAAAAAGCTATCTTATAAAAAAATACACACAAGCACACATGTATTCATGAGAAGGAATGCTCCTCAAACAGACCAATTTCAATTAAAACAATTATTTCAAAAAACACTTCACACATTATTTATCTAGGCTGCTGAAAGTGATAACCAACGGCCAGCTCTAATGGAAAGTAAATGAGACAACATACAAACACACTCTATCTAGTCTAAATATACAAATTATAACTATGGCTTTTCAAACTTTAAGTTCCTGTGACAAAAATGTGACTAGAAATTATCACAATCCGGTCTTTACCGGATAAGTAGAAAGTATGACAGGAACTTATAGTAGATAAATATCAATGATGGACACAATCATCATAATTTGAGATCACTTAAAGAGTTAAAGCACATAAAGGCTAAATTAATTATTTTTGTAATTTAGTTTACTAGGGATGTCTTTATTTCAAGGATTCCTTAAGTTTTGCTATTGGTTTGGAAAGATCAGTTTCTGTTTATGAATTAAAAGAATCCCATTGAACTGTGTATTATCTACGTGCCTAGTTTATGTAAATCTAGAGCACGCCAGCCTGCTTAGTCAGTTTCCAAATATATGATAGTAGTAAGAGCCTGATGGCAGTGAGAAAGTGATATGGTAATCGCTTCAGTTTATAATTTAAAACCCTATTTAAAGATCCATCTTGATCTCAAAGATGCTACAATGTGCTTCTTAGAATCAGGGAAATTCCATGTATTTGTAGAATGTACTTGGCTTACGTCTAGGTGAGAGATTTATAGCTACAGAAGAAAAAAGCATAGTCTTGGAAGAGCCGAGAGAGATCCAAGAAGATAGCATGTGGGATCCCAAGGCAGAGGAAGTGGTCAGGAACACATTTCTAGGGTTGGAAGCAGCCAACCTATGTTACTATTTGGGTTTAGAACAGTAGTGATGTTTTAAATTCCACTTAAACTTCTTATTTCTTGAAAGACTCCTATTACCCCAAACTTTCAGTAAAAACCTGCTACAACACAATCTACAGAAATCAAAACTATTTAATAATCACTTTAGATCATAAAAAAGCAATAAAAAAGATAAAACTCAGGTAAAAATAAGTGTAATGAGGCCAACCTCAAAGTAAAGCCATTTGTAAAAGGCTTTGCCATACTCGTTTTAATATGTGCCTATTGCTGTTAAATTTTGATGGAGATAAAACTAAAGCAGCCCTGGCCGGTGTGGCTCAGTAGGTTGGGCATTGCCCCAGGCATTGAAAGTTTGCTGGTTTAGTTCCCTGTGAGGGCACATGCCTAGATTTTGGGCTCATCCTCGGTAGGAGACATGCAGGAGGCAGCCTATTGATGTTTCCCTCTCACATCGATGTTTTTCTCTATTGATGTTTCCTCCTCATGTAATGATTCTCTCTCTCCTTTCCTTTCTCTAAAGTAGTAATAAATAATAATAATAAACTAAAAGAAACAAAATAAATTTTTCCTCCCATGACACCATTCTCTCCAGGTCCTCTCTATGCCCACCATATTCCTCCAGAGGACCTTTGGCCTACCCTTAAATGTTGATAGTAAGAATCTCTGAAAGAAGCTGTCCCTAGTCTGTCTCATCCATACTCATAATTCAATAATCGATTCCCAGTTCTTAACCCTTTCAAGTTCCATACTTGAATTTTCAATAAAAAACTTCCTTGGGTTTAATCTGAAGCATCATCTGCTTTCTTTCTTCTTCTTCTTCTTTTAAAATATATTTTATTGAGTTTTTACAGAGAGGAAGAGAGAGGGATAGAAAGCCAGAAACATCAATGAGAGAGAAACATCGATCAGCTGCCTCTTGCACACCCCCTACTGGGGATGTGCCGGCAACCAAGGTACATGCCCTTGACCTAAATCGAACCCGGGACCCTTCAGTCCACAGGCCAACGCTCTATCCACTGAGCCAAACCGGTTTGGGCTCTTTCTTTTTTTTTGATAAACTTCACTCACGTATATTTTCCCACTGATTTTTAGAGAGAGTGGAAAGGAGGGGTAGAGAGAAAGAGAGAGAAACATAGATGTGAGACACACACATCATTGGTAGCTTCCCACACGGGTCCCGATGCGGGGGCGGGATCCAGCTAGCAGCCAAGGTAAGTGCCCTTGACCAGAAACAACACACCCTTTCGTCTGAGCAGCGACGCTCTAACCACTGAGAAAGCGGCCAGGGCAGCACCATCTGTTTTCCACACACCTGCTCCTTTCTGTATTCCATATTATGCTGTGAATCTCAAAGGTGGACTTTCCAAAGGTAACCACCATCCTAGAACTTTAGGACACATCTGGAAGGGAAGGAAGGGATAGACAAAAGAACAAAGAGATTCCTTCAGTCTTGATCCAGTGTCCTCCATCAAGTTTCAGTTCCGAAGTCTTCAATTAATCTTCAGGAGGCACTTACATGTTATCCTGTGTGATGTCTGCCATTAAATGCTCTAACTGGGGCAGAGATGGAGACACACACGGGGAGCCTCAGGAACCTCCTTGTCCTTTCAAAGTGCTCTCACCCTTGCAAAGCCTGTGCTGGCTGCTTCGAAAATCTGGTCATTGTACCCAAAGCAACACGGGTCATGATATATTCAATCCAAATCAAATGCACATTAGGCGGTATCAGGAGGTCTGCATGTCTCATCGGTTAAGGGGATAGAGTCGAGTTCCTCAGAAGCATAACAGGGGAAAGACTCAGAACGATTTAAAGATGGAGAGTCTTTAAGAGAAGCAGAGATTTGGCAGGGATGGAAAGAGCTCCCTTGTTTAAAGCCCACCTCCCCCCCCCCCCCCCCCCCGCCTAGGGTTGGATGAATCCAGGCTGTGCAGGGAGGACGTGGCCGGAAAGAGGCCCGCGCGCTCCTGGGGGGCGCAGCCCCGCTTCCCACTCCGGGCGGGGAGCTCGGACGAGGCTCCTTAGGGGTCCTCGGTGGGGAGAGGCGCCAGGGCCACAGGCTTGAGCCGCGCGATCCCCTTCCCTGGGCCCCACTAAGGACCCCTGGGATGTTCCCGCACTCACCTGCGTCCCCTGTCTGCGGCCATCAGCCCGTTTAGGGCGAGGGCGGGCCGGGAGCCCGCGATCGGCGTCGCCATTTCTCGCTTTTCCCGGGCTGTGCACGTACCGCCCACGATCCAAACAAATCGAAAGCCTCCGAGCCCTTGGCATCCCTCTCCCGACGGGCGGCCCACAACGCGCCTGCGCCCTGCCTCTCCTGGCCCCGCCCCTCGGCGAGGCCGCCCCGCCCCGCCCCGCCCGTCCCTGGTTGCGCGCGCAGGCGCAGAACCTCCCGGTGGACGCGCTGTCCAATGGCGTGAGCGCGCGCCCTGGGCGGAAAAGGAAGGGGCGGGCTTAGAGCGAGGAGCCGCCCCGCAGTACGTGGGGATGCGATTGGTCGCGGGTTCCCGCGGAAATCAAGGCTCCTTTTTTCCCCCACCCCGCCCACTCCGCCCGCCTGGCCTATGGCAAGAATTTGACAGACACGGGTGTGGCCGGACTTTGTACTTTATTGAAATGGTGGGGAGCGGTAAGGAAGCGGGGGACGCTAGGAGGCGCCAGACGGGTTCCCGCTCAGTGACTGGAGGCCTGTGTGGGAGCGCACTGAAGAGGAGGGTAGGTCATCGGTGGTTGAGCAACTCCCAGCGCATGATTCCAGAGTCTGACACGGGCCAAATAAGCCAGGAGTTTGACATGCTTGTCCCAAACAATCTAGCGTTGAGTCGGGATGTGAGGAAGCAGGGCCGGGGCTGATGTAAAAAAACCCTAGCAGTGAGAGTGCAAGGGTGAGGCTGAAGCGATGAGAGTTGGTGCCATTGATTCCAGCCTTCACATTGGATGACACAAGGGTATCCATCCTTAGATACTCTGCCACCTCTGCCAAGAAGCTCCCACTTTGTCCACCTCTCCACCCATTCTCAGAATGGGAAGACCCTAACCACAGGGCAGTGTTACTCCACTGCATCCCAATAGGATGGGGACCCCTCATTGGGCACTGCTCTCTAGCCCTTGGGCGGGAACTGCTTCCCGCCTGGAGCAGGGGTTAGTTATCACAGCTTTGACTAGTCTTGTGCCTCCAGGAGGCTGGGCACATTCCTGATCACTCTCAGCCCACCCTGTCTGCAGTCACAACTGGTCCCCCACTCTGTCTACCATGCCTCACTGAGACAGACTGAGAGATGTGCAGATGGCCCGGCTACCTTGTTTTGAGAACATCATAGGCTTTTGGACCAGAAGATCAGAATTCAAACTATTTTTATGCTGTTTACTAAAGCACTGTGCTCCTGTGCAAATAATCAAACTTCTCTGACCCTTGGAATCCTCATTTTTCAAATGAGGATGATTTTACCTTACGAGGCTGGGAAGTCTAGGTGATCTAACAGAGGCAAAGCACCCAGAGCAGAGGCAATGTAACTGTCATTCAAATGTTGCTTCTTTTCTTTCTTCTCCAGATTCTCTGGATCACTGTCTCATCTCACCCTCAATCTAACTCTTAAAATGACGATTATGGGTTAGGTTTCTGAATGTCGCCTAAAAAATTCAAACTGTACCACCTGCATCTCAACTGAGAAGGGCTTACCATAGCCCAACTCCCCTCTGGGTTAAAATCCCCATTGGTGATAATCCAGTTCCCAGCAGGCACTGGGAAAAGTGGTCAAATGAATAAGAGGGTCTGGTGCAGAGATATGATATATCCTGGGACAGTCTGTTAGGGGGGTGTCCAGTTGTCTTCATAAAAAACGTTGTCATCATCAGGGTGACTGAAGCTGACATCATAGTCAGGCGGTGGAGTGAGAGGCTCCAATCTGGGGAGCGGCTCCAATTTGGGGAGCATGCCTAAGCTCTGCAGATCAGGAGCAGTGGACACAACTCGTGGTCCCCGAAGCCGGAGGCTGATAAGAGCTCTTCCAGCACTTCCTGGGGCCATAGACCCCTCTGAGCCGACTCGCCTTTCCACTCTGGCTCTCCTGGGCCCCTCTGGATGGCCAGGCTGTCCCTCCATGAGTCCTGGGGAGATTACCACACTGCTGTAGGGAGGTGGTTGATCCAATTCTTGGGGACGGCCCTGTGATTCCAACACCACAGCCTCTTCATAGGGTGGCACCTCAAAAGCTTCATTGTCCCTGATGCAGGAGAAATAAGGTCATTGGTGTATTACTGAAAGGAGCCCTTTTCTATCCTCTACTAACAAAAGACCCTTCCATAGCCTCTGACCCCTCCTCTCTCTGATACCAGAGTTAGAGGTGGAAAGCAGTGCCCATATGTCTGAGAGGCTAGAGAGACACAGGGAGAATGGGCACAGTGCAGCGATTTTTCAACCAGTGTTCTCCAAGAATTTATAACATGCAATACCTGACTACTTAGTCAAGGGCACTGACCTTCCTCCTTAGGCTGTCAAAAAGAATGACAGTAGCCATCACAACAATAGCTGTATGGTGGGAATGAGTCAAGATTACATCTATTACATTTGTCAGATCGAATATATATATATATATATATATATATGTTTTTTTGGTGTGCTGCAGAATTTTAGTAATTAGTTTATGTGTGCCACGAGGTGGAAAGTCACTGGCATGGTATATTCCTTCAATCCTGCCCACCTCTCGACTCACCGAGCATTGCCTGAGGGCCCTGGGCTGTCCGGCTGCATTGATTGGAACACCCATTCCAGAAAACAGGCCAGCAGGCAGGCCAACATGAAGAAGCCGCCCAAGGTCAGAAAGAAATAAGCAACAGGGAGGATGTTCGGCTGTAGGCCCAGCAAAGCCAGCCCCAGGAAGAAGGAGGCACAGCACAGGTAGAGAAGTGGCTTCTCCAGGCTCCCCCACAACTGGCTCGGCAACATGGCCCCTCCCCAGGCTCCTGCAAAAAGATACACAGCTGTCGTGTCTCAACCAGCAACTGGCATCATGGCTGGGACAGATTCCAAAGTAAGCATATCAGACACCTTTTGGGGGGTTTAGGCTCTTCAATCTCAAATCAAATAAATGGCCAAAATAGATGATCATCAGTATTCTCTATAGGTTTACACTGCATCAGGGCCCCAAGGTATCAGGATGTGTGGAATAAGCCAGGACCCCTGCCCAAGAGTTCTGATTCTCAGCCATCAAGCCAGTTTACTGTGTCATGGCCCTGCCCCCCTTCCTTTTTCCTTCTTCCCCGGATTCTCCCAGTTCTATCATTCCACATCAGGATCCAGTCCCGGGTGGGCCCTGGGGCCTTGGGGTTCACTGGCATCTCTGGAACCCAGATGATGGGGCAGGCCCTGCCCTTTTTCTATTTCTGTTTGCACTGGACCTCCATTCCCTAGCTGCCCAGTTAGGGCCCTCAGTAAGACCCTGTTGGGGAGTAGGGAGTAGGGGGTGCCACTTACCTGGTGTCTGACCCCACCTTCACATTTCCTCCAGTCAGTCCATGCTCCGTGGGAGGCAGAAAATGCATATAGACTTGGCCACAGGGCTACAGCTACGTGAGAATCTTACAAAGGCCTAGGGCCATGGGCAGAAGCCAGATAACCTCTGACCTCTCTACACCACATCCACCCGGGTCCTCCACCCTCTCCTGGCTCTAACTCAGTAAGCTCACATTTCTAGTTTCCTGCCTGCAGTTAACAGGAGCTGGGAGGCAACTCGCAGGCAACCATGTCAGGAGTTCCCTGAACTCTGCACAGCAAGGACTCACAGACTCTGCAAAGGGGCCAGGCCGCTTCCTTACACCCCTGCCCCAATCCCATGACCCTCCCGCCACCTGTCACCCGTCACCCGCCTTAGGAGTTCCTACCTCACCAGTCTGGAACAGACTCCAAAGAAAGTAGCTTGTAGGGGAAGTGGGAGGCGGGGAGGAGGTGGAGCGCACTGGCCCCACCCTCTTTTCTGCCCCAGTCTCAGAGTTCCAGCCCAGGCTTCATTTTCCTCCCTTTCTCCATCAGGCTGATCTCTTGGGGCCCCGCCTTGATTTTTTCTCATTCCACCCACCCCCTTCAGTGCCTTAATGAGAGTGCTCTCCTCCCCACCCCAGTGAACTTTGTACTTAGGACCTGAGTTAAATTCACCTGTCCTCATCCCTTCTCAATGCCCAGTGTATTCCGAGCCGTTTGCCTTATGTTTAGGGAATATATATCATGCCTGGGAGCAGAGATCACAGTTTGTTTTAATCTCTGTAGGTCATGCCGTGCCCAGCAGACTGTAAGCACTGCTGTAGGCCTGGAATGGTGTGTTCTGCTTTCACTGCCACTGTACCGTTTCTGTGAGCTGCTTGTTTTCTGCAGACCTGTAAGACGAGTTTGTGTGTTTGCTTCTTGGCATGGTTAACTCTTGATTCTTCAAGAGCCACCTCCAAGGTGATATCTGCTGTGGAAGTTGTCTTCTCTGTGTGACCACAGTACTCAATCCTGTCTCAGCCTTTACCTGTTTATATAATAATTTTCTGTTTACACTTTTCCACTGCCAGCTTCTTATGGAGAGTGATTAGTTTTCAATCATCTCCAAATCCCAGCAACTAACTCAGGTCCTGACATAGAGCAGGTGCTTGCTAAACACAGTGGAGTCCCAGGACCCACTCTTTCAGTTGTGATCGGGCAGTAAATCTGGGTGAGGCAGATGCTGAGAGGTGCAAAGTGGATGGAGGCACACCTTGTTCTAAGACTCAGAGAAGGATAGACAAGGCTGGGTGCCATGCCTTCAGAGAGTTACCACTGGACAAACGGTGGGGAGTATCACCTAACGGGGTACAAGTCTAACCAAAGGACAGTCATGGGGCATAGCCTGGGCTGTTGCAATAGACCATGTGTGAGCCTGTGTGTGTGTGTGTCGGGGAGGCGGGGCTGGAGTGGTATGGCTGTGTATACAGTTGTGAAATGCCCAAGATAATGAGTCTCTGTCCCAGACAGATGGAGAGGAGAGGGAAGAGACATAACAGGAAGGCTGTTGTGTAAACCAGGTATGTCTCTGTCGACACTGGGAATGCAGAGTGGGAGGAGAGCTGACTGTTATTTTGCTTCCACCATTTTCCTTACTGTTCAGCTTTCTTACGGGAAAAGTGTGGCTGGGCTCAGAAGTATTTCAGTCTGCAGTTAATATACTAATAGAAGGAATTTGGCCAACAGCCCTTGCTATGCACAATAAGAGTAGATGTAAGAATGTCTAAACCTGTAGAGAATTGTTATGAGTTTATTTGAGCCAAAACTGAAAATTGCTGGGAAGCAAGATCTAATATGCTCTGAAGAATGACAGGGTTGTAGTTTCTTTCTCTCTTTCTTTCCTTTTTAAAAAAATATATTTTATTGATTTTTCACAGAGAGGAAGGGAGAGAGATAGAGAGTTAGAAACATCGATGAAAGAGAGTCATCGATTAGCTGCCTCCTGCATGTCCCCTACTGGGGATGTGCCCACAACCAATGTACATGCCCTTGACCAGAATCAAACCCGGGACACTTCAGTCTGCAGACTGACGCTCTATCCACTGAGCCAAACCGGTTTCGGCTATAGTTTCTTTTATGCATTGGAAATTAAGGAGAGAATATAAGGAAGGTGGGAGAGAGCAAGGTGGGTAGGGATGGCCTTACAGGATAAGTTTATGTGCTCTGTTGAGGGTGATTATGTCTTCCAGGGGCATTACTTCTGGTATTTCAAAGTTGTGTTTAACCTAGATGCACCCAGGGCAGGCTTAAAAACCTTTCACTAGAGAAGTGAAAGGCCTAGGGCACAACTACACACTGTGACCTTCCCAGTTAGGAATTTATGATTAGATCCCCCTGTGAAGTCACCTTCCCTTTCCATCCACAATATCTGGTAACATGTAATTTCCCTCCTTTTTATTATTTTTTTATTGTTTCCTCCAGTTGAATTCTAAGAAGCGTCATTACTGAGATAAGCAATGTCAAAGTGTTTATTGCCCACAATACTCATGGCCAAATTGCTTCCCCAAGCTCTTATTCTTTTCTTTATCAATTAAGCATCCTTAGCAATGTATCAATTCAATTGCCCATCCATTTTCTACTTGCCTACTTTTTACAAACCACCTTCCTAGAAGTTGTTTGACCCCTCTCAGCTGGCCACTGTGCCCACCTTATTTGTGGGGATAATAATAGCAAAGGGAAGTGAGGGACCCAGCTGGCATGGCTCAGTGGTTGAGTATCGACCTATGAACCAGGAGGTCACAGTTCGATTCCCAGTCAGGGTATATGTCAGGGTTGTGGGCTCGATCCCCAGTAGGGGGCATGCAGGAGGCAGCCAATCAATAATTCTCTCTCACATTGATGTTTATCTCCCCCTCCTCTCTCTCTTCTCTTTCTCTCTCTCTCCCCCCAAGCCGGGGCTGATCAGCAGCCCTGGAATGATGGATGAACAGATAACTCCGACACAGTTTCACTATGGGGGAGAGGGCTAAGGGATGGCCCATCTGAAGAAGCCAGCAGCCACAATTGCCTGCCTCATTAGCCCTTTATTGTACAGCAGACTGAGATAAAGTTTATCTTTTAGATACAATCAGCAGGTAAGTAGTATTGGAAGGACACATGTGTTTCCATTGTCCTCTAAGCAAGAGCATCTAGGGACAAAGCATAGGGATTCCAGTAAACACCCGGGGGTCTGCACTTGCACAGACTTTATTGGAAAGGTCAAGGAATAATTAGAAGTGCCACCTTCGACATTCCACTGTCTCCCCTAAGTCAGAATTCCAATAAACAGGGAAGGTGGTCTTCCACACACTTCCCGTTTCTCAGAATATCCTCCTTACAACTTTCCAACCAAGTCTCTTCTGCTCCCCAATATCTCCCTTTCTGAAATCAATATAAACATATTTTTTTGAAAAAAGGTTAGTGTGGGGACAGGGGGAAAGGGAGAAGTGTAGATCATTGACAGACTTCCAGTGGGTCTACCACTGAATGCTTCTCTAAGACTTTATTTCTGTGATTTTGTGTTTCTGAATATGGGTCTGCTTTATACTTGTGGCCAGCATGTATGCATTATTTTGGGTACTGCTCACTGTGCTAAATTCTTTATGCAAATTAACTAATTTAAAATATGTATAATGTAATAAGGTACTGTTATCATGTGCATTTTATGGGTGAAGTCAGACACTTGAGGAAAATGTATAGCTAAGGGTGGGGTTAAGACTTGAACCCTCAGTCCCAGTCCAGAAACCTGGCTCTTACCCACTTAGTATGTCCACTCTAAACATTCTTTTTGGCTGCCTTCATAATGTTAATTTAACAAAACACCTGTGATATTCTAAGATCTTTATTCTGATTTCCCCTGGAGAAGTGGTTAGATGCTATTGCCTTTTGCAAAGGCAGCGAAACAGAATGTCAGAAAATGACATAAGATATTGACTATAAGGCAAGATTGGGAAATTAAAATTACAGGCTCTGTATCAGGAAGCTTATCATTTATGAGCTCATTAAGACTGGTTGTGAAAGGTAACAACACTTTTAACTGAATGGCTCTGGAAGCCCAATGTGTGGGTGACCTTTTCTAAAAGGGAGTTGGTGGTAATATATTATGTGTGAACAAACAATTTGGCCCACATCCATGATTTTCATTTGCTCCTTAATAACAACCACGTGAGGGCAGTCTGATGATCATTTTCATGTTATAGCTCAGAGAAAGTACAACTTGTTTCATTAAAATCAAATGTAAAATCTTTACCTCTTAACTCGGTTGAAAGTGTTTTTCTCTGTTAGTTGCCTTACAGCTCCTCAAATGTGTAGGGAAGGTGGATAAATGATTTAACATGAAGCAGGTCAGAACACTAATATTTCTGGGTTGGAAATACTTCCAAAGAATCATAAATCTTCAAGTATGTAGTTACTCTCACCAACTAGTTGTCATCCTATATAATAAAGAGCTAATATGCTAATTAGACCGGACAGCAGAACGACTGTCCAGATAATTTTCCGGATGAAGGTGAGGCTGTGAAGGGCTGCAAGGGCTGAGCTCCTTGCAGAATTTCATGCATTGGGTCTCTAGTATTATATAAAGGTCTCTGGGAACGAACTAAGTAAATATTGGGGCTCAGGCTGTCCCTCTTACTCAGATATTTAGCACTAAGCCACAATAAGTGAATATGGAATTTTAGAAGTTGAGCATTTGTTATTACCAAGTGACAAAAATGCATGTGTTTATTAGAGATGTCTACATGTAGTGGTAACAGGTTCCCACATGAATATGTCCCTATATATGAGAAAACAAAGAAGTATCGTGATTGTGGTTAGTCACATATATTTTAGAGATGGCCAAACGGGGTTTCAGATCTCAGTTCTACCATCTTATAAACTTGGATTTTATATATATATATATATATATATATATATATATATATATATATATATATATTTAAAATTATGTTAATGAGAACACTTATTTGCCATCTTTTAAAAAACATGATTTGAATTTTTAAATCTGCACTGGCTCTGGCATTAGGACTTATTTGACTCCTAGTTAACAGGGCTTAGCTGTCACTGCACAGGTGAGCATGTCCTCCTCTACTGGAAATCCTTGTCTTGTGGCCACCTCAGGGGCTTCATTCTTTTATGTTGTTGTTAATCCTCACTCAAGGATATTTTCCCATTGATTTTTAGAGAGAGTGGAAGGAAGAGACAGAGAGGGAGAAACATTGATTGGTTGCCAACCAGGGTCAGGGATCAAGCCTGTAACCAAGGTATGAGGTACCTGCCCTTGGTTGGAATTGATCCCGGGACCCTTCAGTCCATAAGCTGACACTCTATCCACTGAGTCAAACCAGCTAAGGCAGGGGCTTTATTCTTCTCAAATGTTTAACCACTTTCAATTTTCTATTTGCTGCAGGGGTTCTCTTGTGAATTTGAGGGGTATGCACATTTTCTAATCCAAGCACCTTTATTACATCTTTCTCCCAATGTGGACATCTTCTTGAACTTTTTATTCTAGTAACAATGTACAGTTTATGAGGGCACTGCAGATCCCCACCGTATTTATCACGATCTTCAGGTGAAGGCTGAATTTTTGTGTTATCTGGAATTTTTGTCTTGATAGATTTGTGATGAATCCATTTTATACAAACGAAACCCTTTGTCTTAGTTTGTAGTCTGCCTGGGGCCTCTGAACTAGTGAGTGCAAAATCCCAGCCTTGAGTGTGGTGACTGCTTTGCAGAGGCAGCAGTTGCTAAATGTCGTTTAGGTTGAACTTACCGATGACCAATACATTTTTATTGTTCATTTGCTGGGTGTGACACTGTGAGGTGTATGCAATAGATCCCATAGGAGTCTCACTCTCAAGGGGCTTACTGTGCAGAAGAGGAAAGACATGTATATACTAACTGTAAGACAAGGTACAAAGTGACAAATGCTGCAAATAAGGGACAAAGTGCTGCTGGGGTCAGAGGTGAGACATTGTGCTAAGAAGAGTGGGGACCAGGAATGTGAGGGTTCCTGGACTGCAAGAGGGTGCAGGCCTGGCTGAGGGAATCCTCCACACCCCCACCTCCCGCTGCCCGAGTGCACAAATTTTATGCCCCTGGCCTCTAGTGTAATATATCAAGACATAATTGAGATAAACTATACAATCTTTTTTTTCCCTATCAATATCATAGCCCAAGATTTCCAATGTTCTTCATAATTTTTCAGAGATACAGTTTTTGATGACTATGAGACATTACATCTTGGATATACCATAATTTATTCAAGCATCCTCCTACTATTATATATCTAAGTTATTTGCTATCACAAATAATGCTGAGATAAGCATCTCATGAAATCTGCTTTGAGGGAGAGAGTGCTTATTTAGTCATGTACTTTGGGCATCACTTCATAAATAAGCCTGGAGTGGTATCCTGAAATCCTGGAATATGCAAAAATAATGGAAAAGGGGAAGAGGGGAGGAAGCCAAAATGTGATGGGGGACAAATGGAGAAAATAGATGTGAGATGAGAAAGAGCCAGAGGGAAGGGAGATTGGAAGATGGCTTTTGCTCCTAAAACCCCTTGAGCTGAGCCATCATATTATAGTACACTTGGTTCCCACGAGGCCTCCAAGTGTGGTTTCAGCTGCTGAATAAAGGATATATATATATTTTTAAAATATATTTTATTGATATTTTACAGAGAGGAAGAGAGAGGGATAGAGAGTTAGAAACATCGATGAGAGAGAATCATCGATTAGCTGCCTCTTGCACACCCCCTACCGGGGATGTGCCCGCAACCAAGGTACATGCCCTTGACCGGAATCGAACCCGGGACCTTTCAGTCTGCAGGCCAACGCTCTATCCACTCAGTCAAACCTGTCTTGGCAATAAAGGATATATTTTAAAAATATATTTTATTGATTTTTTACAGAGAGGAAGGGGGAGGGATAGAGAGCTAGAAACATCGATGAGAGAGAAACATCGACCAGCTGCCTCTTGCACACCCCCTACTGGGGATGTGCCCACAACCAATGTACATGCCTTTGACCGGAATCAAACCCGGGATCTTTCAGTCCACAGATCAACGCTCTATCCACTGAGCCAAAAACGGTTTCGGCAATAAAGGATATTTTCAAAGAAGTTCAAATATTGTTGGAACACAGGGTATTCTGATTATTGCACAGTGGGCACAGGTAGGGCAGGGACTTTGGATAAGTAACTGGGGGAGTGGCAAAGCTATAGGTTTGTGTGTGAGTAGCAGGGCCTGCAGTAGGCAGGGAGAGGCCTGGGGTTTTCTCGGGATCTGGCTTGTGGGTCAGAGGAAGGGGTATGAGGGATGAGCATCTCCCTCAGGCCACGGCAGCTCCAGCCTGTCTCCCTGCACTGCCTTGCCCTGGTTCTGCTGGTCAGTGTAGCTGGACCTGGTTTAAATATCTTGGCACAAGCTCAGCCAAGCTCTGGTCCCTCTAGTCTTCTCCCACTGGGCCTCAGGTTCTAGCCCCATCTCAGACACTGTGGCTGGTCAAAAGGCGGGAAGTGCCAAACTGGATAGTTGCAAAATCCATGCGCCTTAGTTTGCTGTCCCTGACAGAGAGACCCAGGGAGTTTCTGCAACAGAAAAAGGGGGACTGTTTCCTGCTCCTTCCACACAAGGGGGCAGAGGGAGCTGGGAACGCAGGAAGAGCTGCTCTTCTCAAACACCTGAGTAGACAGGATGTGATGGCAGCAGCAAGGACACAAACACTCGGAGATGGTATATCCAATGGCATTAGGTTTATTGTGTGGGGAGGTAGAGTATGGGGCTCTCAAACGGCACCTGTGAGGCACAGAGCAGCCATGAGAGTGAAGCAAATAAGGCACCACAGCCAGGGCCACCACCCCCATGGGGAAACCAGGGTCCTAGTGCCCCTCGGTGCAGGAGGGGTGAGCAGATGGTCTGCTTCTTACACCAATGGTTCTGCTTCCTCTGGGCATCCTTATAGTCTGGCACTCACGGCTGAAGGCACAGGGCCCATCCACTTCTCTCCTGGGTGGAGAAACTCACGCATGTCAGAGGCTGACTCCACAGCCCCAGGAAGAGCTGTGCTTGGCTTCAAGGCACAGAGGCTTCCTTCTCTCTTATGAGGGTGAAGGTGGCCACTCCCATTCAACCTTAAGCAACTGTGTCTACAGAAGGCTTCATTGTTGGACATGCCTGGAACATTTTTTGCTCTGAATCTGTCCTTCTGCTCAACTGACATAATGGCGTGGGGTGGGGGGTGGGAGGACACTAGGGTCAAGGGCAGCTCAGTGTGAACTTGTCACTTACCCAGCAGGTAGGCCAGCAACTCCATCCGGTCAGAGCCAAACAGCATTTGGGTTTGGCCGTCCAGGTGGGCCACAGTGACAGGAAGCCCAAAGGCCTAGAGAAAGCAGTAACGGTGCATGGCTGTTAGGACAACCAGAACTTGTTTGAGGACATATAATAGAAGCAAAAAGCCTCTGTGTATGACAAGCATGTCAAAGGTTAACAGGGGCCAAATAAACAAGGTTTAGGCTTGTGTGGGCCACAAAAAAAACAAATGCTTTAATTTTCATAGAAATGTAGTTTTATTTTAAAAAAAGTATGGTATATATACAACAACAACAACAAAAACAAACAAACAAAAAAACAAGAGCAATGATAAAATTAATGTTTTCTTCCTGATACTTGACATTTCTTTTCTGCTATCTTTCCTACTTTGGAGGAAAGCTTGTTCACAGTGATTACTTTCAAAATTGACCCAAGGTGAATGTCAGTAATTCTGGATCTGAGAGATTTATTTCCTGTCATAATTTAAATAACTGCTCACACCGTTATATTGGCTGGGCCACAAAAATATTTGCTCAGGGCCACATGTGGCCTGCAGACTGTGAGTTTGACATGCTTGCTCTATGATAAGAGGCTCTACGGCTCTAAGGAGTTTCCTAACTCTCAGATGCTGTACCTTCTATCACCATCTAGCTCTCCCTTTCCTTGGGCTCAGGGGCAGGAAGGGAGAGGAGCGTCATCTGTAAGAGCTACGGAGGACTCATGTAGGGAGCAGCTTTGAACAGAAGCATAGGGACCCAGCAGAGACTTGCAGAGAGCGCTCTGTCCTGCACAGGGGTTGAGGGCACACATCAAGAGTGGCTCACCCCGTATTTGCAGGCTGCCTCGGTGGTCTCCTTGAGCTGGTTCTTCACCTGTGGCGTTGAGATCTTTTCCAGAAGTGCCCGGGCTCCTTCTGTCGACATGCCTGCCTTCTCTGCAGCCTGGGGGGATGTGGCAGGGAGCACAATTGTGTCTCCATCAGTGGGAGTGGGGATCTCAGGAGAAAACTCGGGTCTTTCTACTTTCTGCCCCCAAGTTTTCCTGGCAAGGCCTTTACCCACCCACGAGTGGAGATCTATTCTTGCCAAGAAGGGCTATTTTCTTCCATAAAATCAATCAATCAATCAATCAATCAATCAATCTGAGTTTGGTGGAAAAAGCAGATGGCAGTTATAGTTGTATCAACTGAACACCAGGGGGTGTCTTAGAGGCAGTTCCTGACCTCTTCAGTAACCAATGACAAGGCCAGGTGGTACCAGGCCAGGGGCCAGGGCCACTTTAAAGACCTTGTTAGTAGCAGAACCAACACTAGAATCCGGGACTCTTGCCTTCCTACTTCTCAGAATTCCTCAATAGCTCATGGTTTTGTTGTTTTGTTAAAGACTGTGCTCTAATTCCCATGGAATTTCCTGGGGACTTGAGAAGCACGTGACTGTAGCTACCTGCTTGGCTTTCAGAGGATGATAAAGGCTTTAGTTTGGGGTTTATTGTAGTTTGGGATCAGTGGTTTAGCTGCACATTAGAATCTCCTGGGGGGGGGGGGACTTTTAAAAATCCCTATTCACAGATCATCCCCTTGAGCAATTACACTGGAATTTCTGGATGGCGTTGCCCAGGTGTTCCAGGTAATTTTAATATGCAGCCAAATTCGGGGACCACTGAAACCTGACCTCATTGGCCCCCCGGAATGGAACAGGAAATCGTGCATTCTGATGTGACACTGTCTTTGACTCACTGCATGAGAAAACTAGATCCCAGACCAAACGCCCAATGTTAGGGGAATGGTTCAGTAAACAAAAACAAGTCCACTGAATGGAACACTGTAAATATTAAGTGAAAAGGCAAGCCCATGCATACACTTTGCAGGAATAAAAACACTGGATATATTGGCCATTTTTGTGTGTGTTTAACTTTTGTAATTTTCCATTTTAAATATTAGATTTGAATATGTCTTAGATAAAGGGAAAATTCTGTTTTGAATTTCCTGATTTAATCCCAAAGAAAAATGTACTCTGTGGCACACATTTCATTGTTTTGAGCTATTCCCATTTGTTCTTCTTCAGGCTTTTTTAAAACTTTATTTATTTATTTATTTATTTATAATTCTGGCTTGACTCAGTTATCTCTTCTTGTCTTTTTAATAATTTTATTAATTTTTTATTGTTGAAAGTACATACGTCCCATCCCCTTTTGCCTCTTTTGCCCTCTCCCAGTCTGTCCCTGAAGCCCAGCCCCTGCCTTCACCCCCTCTATTGTCTGTGTCCATTGGTTATACTTATATGCTTACAAGTTCTTTGGTTGATCTCTTATCTTTTTGTCTTCTTAAAGCCTGTTTTTAAAGTATCCTGATTTCTACGCTGGATGTGTGGATGAGATTTCTGTTGGGAGTGGTCTGGAGCCAACACTTGCCAAATACTTCATCCCTTCCTATGGAGGTGGGGTGGGGAGCAGTTATCCTCGCTCTCCTACTGACTTCTTCCATCAAAATTCAAATGTAGAATTTTCACTTCCCCTTTCAACCTTGAGATATACTTTTGAGAGTCCTCTTAATTCCAAACTTTCAGTAATCTGGCCTCTCAAACACAGATGTCCTTTCATCCTAAATAACAATGACCTCTTCCATGTAGTAAGAAAACTATGTCCTCTCCTTCCGCCCCCAACTGTTCTCAGATCCCCTATGGAGGGGGGCAGGGCCAGGACACTCACTGTCAGGATACTCCCAGGCTCCGTGATGTCTTCATCCTGGGGAGGAGAACACTCAGCAGGAAGGGGTGGCGGGGTGAGGGGTGGGATGGACAGTAGGACAGTGAACAATAGGGTAGGGCAGGAGCAGGTGTCTGGAAATGGGCCTAGGGGAGGGTCACCAAGTCCTCCAGCGTCTCCCATATGGGTTCCTAGAGCCCTGCCCTCACCCGTGACCAGACCCGCATCCACAGTTCCCTGGACACTTTCTCCAGCATCTCAGGATGCTCCATGTTCACAGCGGTGAGGAAGCGCATGGCTGACAAACTTCCTGTGGGGCAGAGGCACTCAGAGGTAGAGCTCCCCTCGCTTATTCCACCCCCCCCCCCCCCACCTTCCTGCATGGTGGGCCTGCTCTTTCCTGCTTCTGACATCCCTAGAGCTTAGTACTCGCCCTCGGCCTCCCACCCAGGTTTCTCATAACTGATTGTCCTGCTCTTTTTCCTCTTATGTCCCCTTAACATTCTTTGAAAAACTCTGAGCCTGAGTTTTTCCAGGGTTTGTCTCATTGAAGTTAAGTCACCTAGCCCTTCCTTCTTGGGCCTATAATCTCCAGCTTCGCTGCCTTCTACTTGCTGTCCCCGCCTGTATCCCACCCTTTACCTTTTTCAAGGATCACAGAGAAGAAGTCCTTGGGCATCCGGATGGGAACCTGGACGTGCTGTCCGAGGAGCTTTATGTCATTTGTCAGGTATTTGCCCTTGGAAGGAACCAGGGCTGGCGGTTTGTTGCCTAAAAGTGGAAATTTGGACCCGCTGGTGAGAGATCTAAGAATCCCAGACTTGGGGGACCCCTCCAGGGTTTTGGGAACCCCCCCCCCCCCCCCCCGGCCTTGGAAATCAGTCCTCCCTCAAATCCCAACCCCAAGTGCTGCTTCCTTTATACCACTGCTTTTCATGATCCCTGCAATAAAGGTCGGGCGCAACTGCAGGTGGATGTTCCAGATGTTCTTATATCGGCACAGGATCTGCAGGAGCAGAGGCGAATGTCCGAGCCCGTGTGCAACATGGAAGGAATGACATGTCAGAGGGAAAGGCAAGGTTGGTGCATGGCAACTGGTTAGCCAAAGGCTCTAAGCAAAAAGTAGGGATTAGGTGGACACCTTACATCGTTTGGTTTGAAATGGCAGAACGCTCTCGCTCCCAGAAATCTATCCCAGAACCTAGGCTCCTAAGGACGGTTTCCATCCTCCCAGCCCCCCAAATTGACACCAGAGGGCTAAGAGGTGGGGTGCCAAGGCTTTCTCCTTGACTTTTCTGAGCTGCCCCCTTTCCAAACCGCTGTGGGAAACCACTGCCTTAGGATATAAGGACTCGACCTGGAACCAGCGACTGTATCATCTGTTTTACGAACACGAAGTGACCTTCGGCCCTGGCTCTCTGTCTGCGTGTCCTAAACTCTTGAGGCAGCGCCAGGCATTGCAGGAGACCACGGGCCCTGCGTCCTGCGCCCGCCCTTCCCTCTGCCCTCGGCTCCCCGGCCCCGGCGTCACCTCGAAGCCCAGCCAGGAGTAGGGGGACAGCACGTCGTAGAACAGCTCCACGGTCCGCGGCAGGGGCCCCATCGCAGAGGAGAAGCGAGCGCCGCCCCAGCAGAGGTGGCGCAAGTTTCCTTTTTCTGGAGCGGGGTGACACCGTCCCCTTTCCCCGCCGGACCGGAGGACCGCCTCCCGCCCGCACCGCGCAGCCTCCGGGAGGAGAGCCGCCCGGGCGGGGTGGGCGGGGCTGCGCCGCCGGAGTGGGGTGGTGTGCGGTGTCCCCAGAGGAGCTCGCGAGCCCGGAGACCTGCGCGACTCGCCCTGCCTCGGGGTGGAGTCTGGGGCCAAAGGCGGTGGTTTGAGATGCACGCTGCACCTCCGGCTTAGCTGTGCTCCCCGGGCAAGCTGCTCATCCTGATGACCTGTATTTCTCAGAGCTTAGTACAATCAGCCATTTTACAAATGATAACTCCTACCTCTTATAGACTTAAAAAGGACTCAGATTGGCAGTTGCAGGAACTTCCCGAGACTGGAGCAGAGTAAGAAGTGGCTAAACATGTTAGATAGATGGATATCGATGTATGATTATCTGTATTTCTCAGAGCTTAGCATAATGCCTAGGACATATTTGACCATCGATACATATTTTGAGTGAGGGAATGAGAGGAGGAGGTCTCTCTGCCACAATAATTGGAGTGGTGATGCGTTATTGTGGTAATGCGGAATGGTCTGTCTTATTTGTATTTATGAATATCATATTGTTTTATAATGGGATTACACTTACCGCAAAGGCACAGACTTTTTTTTTTTTTAAGTTCATTTAATTTAAAATTACTTTTAACATTACTGCTTTTGTGAGTTGGAAAATACATAACAATAAATGTTCCACTTCTCATTTGTATTTATAAGGAAAAACCTAGGCCATCAGAATGCAAAGACACATTATAAACATTTACATAGAGTAAAACGTATAAAGTGGAATGAAAAATGATGTTATCACTGTGCACTTGAACATTAATTGCTTGTTGATCCCTGAAGCTGAAAAATTATACTTTGTTTACTTTTAAATATTAGTTTAAATATTAGTTTAAAATATTAGTTTGTTTACTTTTAAATATTAGTTTAAATATTAGTTTTAAATATTAGTTTTAAAAAATTAGTTTATTTATCCAATAGTTAATTTAGCCTGGTGATAATAAGATTTTATTTTAAAAATAGATCATGACTTATTTTGTAAACCTTTATATATGGAAATAATTTTAGACTTTCAGAAGAACTGTAAAGATAGTACTGAGAGTTTCTGCATGCCCTGCATCCAGTTTCTTTCAAGTGAGCATCTTATGTAACCATGATATAATGGTTAAACTAAGAAGTTAACATTGGCTAACATTACTATTAACTAGATTACGAACTTCATTCGGGTTTCACTAGTTTTTCCACTAATGCCTTTATTCTGTTTCAGGATTCAGCCCAGGACACCACATAGAGTTTAGTTGTCATGTCTCTCCAGTCTCCTCCCATCTGGAAATTTCTCAACTGTTTCATGTGTTTCATGACCTTGGTACTTTTGAAAAGTATTGGTCAGATATTTTGTACAATGTCCCTCCATTTGAGTTTAATGTTTTCTTAACACTAGGCTGGGGTTATGAATTTTTGGGTAAGTACTGTATACCACCCAGATAAAGTGTCCTTCTCTTCAAGTTGTATTAGGGGGTTCCTGATGACAACATGACTTATTACTAGGGATGTTAACCTAATCACTAGGGTAAGGTGGACCAACTATCAAGCTTCTCTACTGTAAGAATCGCTACTTCCCCCTTTCCATACTCCATTCTTTGGAAGAGAGTCACTAAATGCAGCCCACTCTTGGGGTTGGGAAGATTAAACCCACCTCCTCAAGAAGAACAGCAAAGAATTGTGGACACCTATTAAGACCACCACAGTAGTTAAGACATATTTTAGGGGAGATGCTTTGAGGCTGTGCAAATGTCCTATTCCTCCTTAAACTCTCATCAACCAGTTCATCACTCCCCAGTAAGTCTTGCCTACAGCAATTACTACTCTGGTGTTCTAATGGTACTTCTATATTTCCCTCATTTTTCTACATTTATTAACTGAAATTTTTCTGAAAGAAAGTTGTCTCATTTATCCACTAATCATTTATATCAGCACTAGAGGCCTGGATTCATGCGCCAATTGGGTCACTCGGTCTAGCCTCTGGGGATCAGCCTGAAATTGGCTCTCTGATTTCCTACAAAAGGTCATGGATTGTGATAGGGCACAGGCCAGGCTAAGGGGCCCACTGGTGCACGATCGGGGTAGGGAGGGACCTCAGGAGGGCTCCAGGGCATAAGCTCTGTCCCATCTTGCCCAGTCCCCAATCATCCTGACCCCAGCAGCAAACTAACTTATCAGTTGGAGTATCTGCACCCTGGTGGTCAGTGTGCATCATAGCAACTGGTATAATGGTCAAATGATCAGACACTTAGCATATTATGCTTTTATTCTATAGGATTATATAGGATTGCTGAGAGGAGTATCTAATACTGGTTAGAGTTGTTGGAACAAGAAAGAGTATGTAAGTCAATATTTAAGGTAGGAGAAGTAATGCTAGAAGAACTAAACATGATGTAATTACAAACTTTAATTTTAGAGGAAGGAGAAGTGGGTATGTAAACCAAATTTCATCTTTTGTGAACAGACCAATGATATTGTCTACAGGTGAAACATCACTGGAGCTTTAGTCATGTAATTGAGAATGAGATATCTGAAACCAGAAATGCTTTAAATAAGTTGCCTTTTCAAATCAGTAAAAGATGGATTGATTATTCAGCAAAAGGTACTAGAAGAAGTGAGAGGTTTAGACAAAATGTAGTTGGACCCATACCTCACACCTTACTCCAGAAACATATTTGAATGGATCAAATATTTAAATGTTAAAGAGGGAAACCAATCAAGTACCTGGGAAACTACAGGAAAACTTAAAAAAAAAATCTTGTACTCTGGTCAAGTAACTCAATTGGTTTAGAGCGTCCTCCCATCACATCAAGGTTGGGGATTCAATACCCTGTCAGTGCACATACAAGAATCAATCAATGAATGCATAAATTCTCTCTTCTTTCTAAAATTAATAAATAAAAAATAATAATCTTGGATTAGAGACACTTTTGCTAACTATAATGCTAAATGCAGAAACCTTAAAGGAAAAGATTTATATATTTAATTATATGAAATTTTTAAAAATCTGGCTAAATCCAATAAGTAAACAAACAAACAAAAAACTGAGGAAAATATTTGGGTTCATTTCAGTCAAAAAGCTAATTATCCTAGGTAGAAGGAGCTAAAAAAAACCCAACAAAGTAAAAGAACGGAAGCCTAGTGAGCAAATAAGCAAATGAAATGAGCAGGGCATTCTCAGAAATGGACATAGAGATGCTCTTAAACATAAAAAAGCCTACTTGAACATGTTTATGGATTTTTCAAGTTAAAATTACCCTATAATAGATTTTTATCTGTTAAGTTGTCAGAGGTCAAAAGTCAGTCAAAAGTTTGATGACTCAGAGTGTTGGAAAGTTATTGTTTTATATATGACAATGGGTTTAAGTATAAGTCTATACAACTTCTAGGGAGGGCAGTTTAACAATATCTTTCTGGTTTACAAATGCACCCACCCTTTGACCTAGCAATTCCATTTTTAAGAATTTATACTCTAACCACGTTTGCCTACATTCAGTATGGTGTGCTATGAGGTTATTTATAACAGTACTGTTTCAAAAATTAGAAACTACCCAAATGTGGTTCATCAATGTGGTACTAATTCAATACACCAATATTTATAATATTTTCAACTTTAAAAAGAATTTGGAAGCTCTTTGTATATTGAATGATATCCTACATATTAAGTGCAAAACAAAATATAAAAATGTGCATATTTTTTGCTATGTCTTTTAGGGATTGGAATACTCTCTTAGTGTGTGGGTATACACATGACATATATGCTTGCTAATATGCTGAATGGAATAACAAAAAGCTGATAGAAATTGGTTGCTTTGGAGGAGAGAAGCTAGGTAACTGTGGGTGGGCCAGGAGAAAGAATTTTATTGCATACTGTGGCTCGGTGCACAAAATTTATGCACCAGGTTAGGGGGTTGTTCCTTAGTCTGGCCTGCACCCTCTCCAATCTGGGACTCCTCAAGGGATGTCCTACTTCTAGTTAATGGATCGGGGCCCAAACAGACATTCCTCTCACAATCTGGTACTACTGGCTCCAGCCTCTCACCTGTCTGCCTGCCTGCCTGATTGCCTCTAACCACTCTGCCTGCTGGCCTGCTCATCTCCAACTGCCCCCCACTGCTGGCCTGCTTGCCTCCAAATGTCCCCCTGTCAGCTTGATAACCCCACTGCCCCCTGTGCCAGCCTGCTCACCCCCAATTGTCCCCCTGCTGGCCTGCTCATTCCAAACTGGCCCTCCTCTCTTCCCCCCACTGTCCTGATCACTTCCAACTGACCCCCCACTGATGGCCTGCTCACCTCCACTGAAGGCCTGCTCACCCCAACTGGCCCCCATGCTGGACTGCTTAAGCCCAATATCCCATCCTGTCCTGATCACCCCCTCTTCCCCTGGAGACCCAAGGTCCCAGTCCTCCTTTTTTTCTTTTTCTTTTTTTTCAGCGCTTCCTTGAGTGGAGGCCAGGCCTGCTGGAAGCAAGTATCTAGGATTTATTTATCTTCTATAATTAAAACTTTGTAGCCTTGAGCAGAGGCCACGGCCAGCCAGGGCCCGCAGGAAGCTTAGCTTCCTCCATTGCCAGGGGCCTGCTGCCATCTTTGTTGGGTTAATTTGCATACTCGCTTCTGAGTGGTGGGGGGGGGCATAGCAGAGCGATGGTTAATTTGCATGTTTCTCTTTTATTAGTGTAGATAATGTTTAACACTTTTTTATTTTTTGACTAATGTGAATATATTATCTACCCAGAAAGAAAGATAGGCAGGAAGGTAGGATAGAGAAAGGGCGATAGGAAGAAAAACTGAGACAGGAAGGAAGTTGCCTTTAGGAACTTGTTCTGGCAGAACAGGGAGGGGGTTGC